ACCTTTACACTTTACACGGGGCCTTCCGCGCCACCACACACATGAAAGACAAGCGACAAACAACCATTCATTTTATATTTTACAGTCTGTAAAAATATGATTTCGCAAAACGTTGTACATTGTCATCATATTAAAATATTTCTCTTTTTCTTTCATTTTTAAAGCGGAATGTTTTTAAACAAATTTAACCACCAATCAAAAGTGCACCGTCTATGACATATTTGCGGCATTTTTCCAAACTAATAGAATTGTAATGAAGGAATGAACGTTGCACATATTTCTGTTCAAAACAATGGATAAAAAATATTATTTTTTTATTTTTAATCAATATTGCTACTCTTTTCCAATATAAGATCACCATCTTCTCTATAACTACACTCTCTGCATTTGAAGAAAAATACAAAATATTCTCGCATATTCTGCCGGTCTTGAATACATTTCCCTTTTCATTCCAACTTTTCCATTTAATTTATGTTCTTTGTTTAGACGTACATCTTCGCGCTATGTTTGTCTTTGCGTTCTTTACTTCAAATTGTGACTCTCCTGGTGATGTCACAAGTGCCAACCATAAGATATTCCGTTTTCTCTAAGTCAGCCTTTGAATTGAAATTAACAGTAGGGGTTGGGGTTGAGTTTGAAAACTATCCTGCAAATGCTCTCAAACTAAATCCACAAACGTTCAAATAAGCCCACTCTACTTTGTTTAAGAGCCTCACAATCGGTTTCAAACTATAGACGCTTGGTTCACACTTCTTGTGATCCGACTATAGGCCTGCAGTCTGAAGGTCTGGCTGATATATACTCTCTGGACTGGCTATAAGAGCGTAGTTTCCATGTGACAAGAACGCATAGCGATTGTTTCGAATTATTTTGGAAGCAACTGAACAACTCTAAAAGACAAAAGTGTATAATAAAAAAGTCCTGAGCCATGAAATAGTAACTCTTTGTCTGCACGAAGAACGAAGAGAAACATACGCTGATGTCCATTGTTGACACTCCCCCCCCCCATTGGCATGCGACTGTTAATGGCGGATGCAGGCAGACGCGCGTCCTTGCCACAGCTATAGAGGCAGGGGGAGAACTACGTCACTTCCTTTACTCGAAATCCGTTGCGTGTTAACATTTCGCTCTCCAAATTCGTAGCGGAGTATAAAAAGTTTCACTTGAAAAACAAATACATGAGCGTTTTGCAGGATCTCGATAATTACGTGCAATGCTAGTGCTTCGGGTGATATCTGAGCCATGGGCGATTTTGGAGTACAGTATTTGGGGAGGGGTCATGAAAGGAAGTCGGTACTTAAGAGGAATTTTAGTTCAAGTCACGAGTTTTTTTTTAATTAAATTATTGAAGATAACAATGTGCCCGCGCTAGATTGTAAAAAGTCAAGTTGTTGCAACTGTTCGTGAATTCAGTTTCACAGTTCTCTTATAAAATGATGACAGCGACACAGGCGGCTGCTAGAGCATCAGTGGAGGGAAAATGCGAGGATAGCCCTACCCCAGCCAGATCTGGAGAACCCTCTACATATTATTTTTCTAGCCCATTTTTAGCAAATGAAGGACGTCGTAAAACGGTGTGACACGTGCTCACCATGGTTTCACCGCCCTCTCCTCAGACGAAAGAGGTCTTGATTGTGCTGAACCAAAATAGGCAACGTGTACTCAAAGGTACTGAACTCTAATTACAACTTTTATCAGTCGTGAAGAGAAGCAACTGACAATTCAAAACATTTCTAATTACAACAAACAGCAACGGGAATCAGTAGTCAAAATTACTTTGCAGTGACTATGAATTTTCAAAAACTGAATCCAAGATCATTCAAAATTATGTAATTCATTGTAATGTATAAGTTATTTTATTATTTTGTACGCCAGTGCTACAGATTATCGTATTCAAATTAGTTTTGCTCTCAACTTCTCTCTTTCCGAAATTTAACAAACTACATGAAACACAAAGTCTGTAACCAGACAAACAATCCTCTTACCTTAAATTCTGTCAAAACATCAGGTTTTCGACATAACCTAAAAAAAATTAAAAAGTGAAAGATATTTCTAACCGAGAGGTCTGACGATGTTACCTATATGTTTTTTTGGGTCATATAACTTCATAACACCAAATCTTTCACTTACCACCCCTTCCCAAAAAAAATTAAAATACTGCGTCTGCTTGGAAAGTGATCTGGCGCCAACGATGTAGGCAATCTGCCATACAGCGTGTTGAGTGTTGTCCCGTCAAGGCTCACTGTCACCTTTTCTATCAATTATAATAGATCTAAATTTTAAAAAATCTGATATGATGAAATTAAAAGTACTTCAGATTCGGTTTTAGTGACTTCAAAAACATGTAGATAACAGGGTCTCACCCCTTGGTTAGAAATATCTTTCATTTTTTATATTTTTTGAGGTTATGTCAAAAACCAGTCGTGATGGAGAAAAATGGACACCGAATTCGGACTTAACGACCCCAAAAACATACAGAAAATTTGATATGATCCCCAGACACAAACACAATTTTTTGTGGCTGTGTTATTATTCAAGAAATGCCCTTACACACTTTTTCATATCTTGTCTAGTTTTTTAGTTAACGTACGTGGTTTTAAACATAAACGGGTCAAGTGGTCAAATTTCGGAAATGTTCCCCACATAACCATCATGAATTTTGATGAAAGTTTGCAAGCACATGTCTCAAAGGAACTTTTGTTACGTCGTAACTTTACAGTTGAAATAGTTTTTAAGGTACAGCGATTTGTTTTTCTCCGATGGATAGTCATTGTAGAGTACTAGATTTCCTAAATTTGGGCAACAATATTCCTTCTCCGTTATTTCTAAACAAATGAAGCTGATATTATTCATACAACTTTTCTTGCTCTGTTCAATGTAACTAACATATTTTCATACATTAAAACACGGTGTGTACGTACATTGAGTACAATCGACGGGAAAATGTTATAAAATAAGACTTAAAATTTAATAGTTGCCTTAATACTTGAATGAGAAGTATGAAACTTAACTGATAATATATTGTTTCTGAATACATAATTTCCACCTTTAATCTTGTACTCTTTCTCCACAAAATTAAATTTAAAATTGATGTGTTTTTTTTTTATAAAAGAGTATTTTCAACCTTTTACAGGAAAGCACCTTCTAAAACAGTTTTCAAACCTACTTCATTTAAAAGATCAGTTTACCAAATTGATTTAAAAATTAATTTGATTATTCAGCGGTGGCATAGAACGTGCAAAATATGCAGCGATGTTGCAAAATTAGTATTCAATAAAAATTCCTGACTTTTTATTATATAATTAAATTATGATTCAATAAGAAAATTGAAATGCAGCACTTAATCGATTGATTAGTTTCTGGGCGCTTTAACTTCTGTGGTGATTAGTCCACAAGTACAGTGTATGTTTTTTCGTGGGGGGTGGCGATGATCTTCCCCTGCGAGATCATCACCAAAAATGGCGAGATCAGGCGCCAACATACACGCCGACCACATTTTCCCGAATCACATTTCTTCCACCAGCGGGACATCGCCCCAGCATGCAGCATGGAGCAGTTCCTGACTAGTCTCACGACATGTGCGATAGTGTAGAGCATTTCAGGGTGTGTGTGTAAGAAGGCCTGAGGATAAGACAAGGAAAGGAGAGGAAAGATCATGCGCAGCCCTTGGCCCGTTTGTTAGGGTACTACTCCGGCATTCGCTTGGTGTTGATCGGAGATACCACGAAAAATTACCGATGAGATCTACCGGCCGCTAGAATTCTCCTCCGACAGCGGCAGAATTCGTCCTAGTTATGTAGCTAGTCTCGAAAGTCCTGTCACCGTCGGCACTCGAACCCTAGGACCTCCCGGAGGAACTGAAGTGACATCAGTTAATGCCCTGAGCCATGTAAGCCAGTTTTAGTATTTAATATTTCAACATATCACTGTTAATGAATGTGTAACTTCGACCTCCCGGCTCCGACTATTACTCAAAAAATTAAGTTTAAATTTGATGTGATAACTCGAGTCAATGGGTCATATGAATAAAAATGGGCATTGTTCAGGAGTACTTGCTCCGGAGCAAAGTGAGTCTACTCCGCGACACTGAGCAGAAGCTCCATTTCGTATGAATAAAAACTTCGTATGTCTCCGATGAACTTACTCATGTCTCGCGAGCATTTGCTTGTTGTGAACAAGTTATAGTGCAGGCTAAGAGTTTTAAAAATTGGTTTCTTGATTAACAAAGAGGTTACATATGTTACGCGCGTCGCGCACATTTCGGCGGAATAAAGAGCAATGTTTTGTTGTCTCGTTCTTTAAATTCGAATATGAGTAGCAGAAACGAAAAACAGGCGCCAGAGGCCCAACTAGTTTTTCCCGCAATGCTAAGCGAATATAAAATTATTTTTGAAAAGAGTCAGCTTCCGGAGGTGCGCTGTGGCCGAAACGAAAGTTTGAAAAAACAGTACCCCGAAAAATTCCAAGTAGAAAAGAGCGATGGCCAATTAACATAGAAGATATGCGATATGAAAACACGCCTGAAAGCAAACGCCGATAAAAACCGTATCAAACATACATTGCCTTTTTCGAATCGCCAAAGATTCTAATAGTCTAAATCACGAGAATTTCGCCTTATTTTGTATTTTTTTAGTCCGCTGCATATTAATACAAGGTAAAAAATGGGCCAATTTAACCTTACTTTTCAAACGTGGGTCTGCTACTAAGCTTCCTCCGAAATTTTGGAGCAAGTGCTCACTCTAGAGTAAACGCTGAAGTTTATTCATACCAATTCTGAGCATTTTCTCGCCAGTTGAGAGTACGCTCAGGGATGGAGTAAGTGCTCAGAGACTGAGCAATTGCTCACCTACTTCATTCATACGAAACTGAGAAGGATCTCCGAAACTCGGAGCAAAAAGTAATTGCTTCCTTTTATTCCTACCATCCAATGAGTCGACTTACTACATCGCGAGAAAGAAGCTTCTCTTCACAGACACGCGCGCTCTCTGTGTGTGCGGCAGGACGGGGATGGTGACGAACGGTAGTGTGCGGATTCAGCGCGAGGACGGCAGCGTCAGCACCAAGCGCGGCGCCGCCTGCTACCTCACGCAGGACGACCACGTGCAGCAGCTCTTCACCGTCCGGGAGATCGTCATGCAGGCCGCAGACCTCAAAGTGGGCAGCCGGCTGTCGCGCAAGGCGCGCGAGATTCTCGTAAGTACACTCGCTTTGCTTCTCATTCATTCACTCATTCGTTCGTTCATGAACTCATCCGTTCATTCATTCACTCAGCTGTTCGTTCATTCATTCGCTCAGCCGTTCATCCATTCATTCAGCCGTTCATCCATTCACCCGTTCATCATTCATTCACACGTTCATTCAATCACTCACCCATTCATTCATGGATTCACACGTTCATTCATGAATTCATTCATCCGTTAATCGGTTCATTCCTTTATCAGCTCATCCCTTTATCATTTTATCCCTTTATCCGTTTATCTATTTGTCCCTTTGTCCGTACATTCATTTATCCGTACATCTATTTCTCTGTTAATCCATTTATCCGTTCATCCATATTTATCCGTTTATCCATCCATTTATTTAAGTTTATTTAGGTTATTGCCTTTTCTTCAATTACGGAGGCCATTCAAGTCCGTCAGTGATTATCTGATGAGGAGATAATGGTAATAAATGAGTTGAATGGTAGAGAATTGAAAAATGAGAGGAAGGAGAAACGGGAGAACCCTGAAAAAATGTGCGGAGCACTATACATTCCATATAGATTGGCCGGGGATCGAACCCGCACCCCAACTCTTGAACAATATGCACTCACCAATAAGTCACGAACACCCCCTTTTCAGAGTAGTTAAAATCATAAGTAATGTTTCCAAATCGAAATGTAACACAGTGCACGTTATTTCTTGAGATCACCCGAACCGCAGCTGCTGTGGCATTAACCAACGGATAACAATAAATGAAAACTTCTAATCGAAGATTATCAAATCTCCTATGGCGACTACACCCGCACTCATAAAAATGTATAGTAGTTATGTCTTTAATGAAGTAAGTTTTTGTACGAAGTCCGTGAAACTTTTCTGCGTTCTTTTTCGAGCGGTAATATTCTGAGTTCAGAAATGTCATTTTGCGGGCGAGGTGCGCATATTTGTTGCAACCTCGCGTCTCATTTTTGTATACTTAGTTTGCAATTTTCATTATTCATCAAATTACAACTTACTAATCGCAAACTAAGGTAATTTCATAATAAAGCCACTTTTGAATAAATATAAACAAAATTCATGAACTGAAAAAAATATGTAGGGGTGACCAGGAGAGGTTGTCACAATTTTACATTGTTAATTTTTGAAGAGGCTGTGTTTAGTTTCCTTTTGTATTATCAATGCATCCTATAACAAAAGTCCTTGGCTATGTTCTTCCACAAATTGGAGGGCATAGCAACATTTGGCTTGTCAGAAAAAAATGTTCTGTCAGAGTAATTTTTTTAGACAACTGCCCCGACTCCGGATTGGTTGTCAAGGGTAAGGTTAGATTGATAAATAGTCATTGGTAGGCAAAATTAGATGTATTAAACTATAAATCAATCTATGATATTGATAAAGCAATAATACCAATTTAGACACAAAAATGTTCGTGTAAAGGAATATTTAAGAAAATGTCTGATATGGGCCTAGTCACTTTCGAGCGCATTCTCACTATTTTGTTATAAATAAAAGTTATTTGGTCCTGTGGTACATAATTCATGAGCTCACTTTTTACATTCTATGCACAGGTTCCAACTTTCCTTAGCTTTACTGATAGCAAACGGTTCAAGACAAACTAGGTTCAGGTGATTGTCTCCAAAATTGATATTCGTGCGACGTATATATACATCGCGCGTTGACCCGCGGAATATCGCGTAATAGCAAGCTTGAAACTGAGTGGCATGAAGTCATCAGTCAGGTCCCCATTACCCATTACGCCGCTACGTTCACCCCAGGGGAGACTTCTTCGATTATGACCTTTGTCCGTTATTTTTTCAAGCTGCCGGCTGTTGAAATTTGTGGCACTGAGGCGATATATTTTCCAAGATGAAATTAATTTCCAGATCGTTGTATTTCCCATAACTGTGGTTCACTATAACCGAGGTGCAGGTTCACTATAACCGAATCTTTGTATGCTTCTTTGTAATGTAAGTGAAAGGGAACCAGTGACAGTTGACTATATCAGAGTTCATTACAAACGGAGTCGACTTTTTTTTTATTTTTATTTTTTTATTATTATTAACAAAAGTTGCGCTGAATTAATCTTGTGTTTAATTCACCTTCATGTAAGTTGCTTAGATACCTTCATATAATCTGCTGTTGTTTGCACATCTGTTATCAGGTTATTAACCCTCTGTAAACAGAAAAGATCCTAATGGTAAAAACAGTATGTGTGGTAGTCATAGGAACATCAGCACAAAAACTAGACGTGATTGAGGAAAACTAGTATTATTTTGGAGTTCATCATTGCCAATTCCATTAAAAACCATTGAAAAAAATTAAACATCATTAATTTTTTTTTAACAGGCCAGGGTTAGGAAAGCCATTTGAAATGGGAGTAACACTGAACCCCCAACCATCATTATTGTGAATGTAATGACACTGTCAGACTCTTAATGTTTGCCAACATTTCTAATAAAACTGTTCTAATTCTATTCAATTGTCTACTTATTATCCACTTTATTTTTATTGTTAAGGACTTTACTTAAATTAATTCCACTATTTATGAGTCCCTAATATTTTGTCATTTCTAGCATTCAAATTAAACTAATATAATATTACGTATTATTGAAGCATACTCTAAATTAATTGCCAAATTTTATGAGAATATATGAATTAATAAAGGAATCAATGTTGTAGGTTGATGATGTGATTGAGACTTTAGGACTGGCAGAAAGCAGCTGCACTCGAGCAAGTCAACTCTCTGGTGGACAACGTAAACGTCTTGCAATTGCTGCTGAATTGGTTGATAATCCATATATACTCTTTTTTGATGAACCTACTACGTAAGTAAATAGATAATTTAACACGTATCAGTTATTTTTAACTTCCAAAGAGAGTGCTTGTCCCAGATTGTGTTTTTTATCTATTCACATTTCTCAAATAAACTCCATAGAGACCCTTGGTGACAAGTAGTTATTACGAGGCCTTAGATTTATGCGCAATAAGATACATCTAAATAGTACATATGTAGGACTAAAAATGATCAAAATATGGACTAAAGCTGAATAAAAAGATAAGAATAGAAAAAATAATGTACGTATTATCCAAATTCATCATTCAAGAAGTTGCATAAATAAAATGGCTAAATAACTTAGTTTTAATGTTAGCCACAAAATAAGATTTAATCATTTCTTCTAAAATAGGCAACACTTTGTGTGGCTGAAAGTAAATTCCTTAATCCCTTTCTGACCTTTGACAAAACTGTGAGTTATAAAGCATTGTTTTGAATGTTCAAATGTGAAATTGCATCTTTTGCCTCAATATTTCTTGGCGCAGTTTAAAACTTCACTGAATGTCAGTGAAGAACAATAAGGACAACCTTAAACCTCACAATATCCTGTGGAGTTAAATCCAGATCAACTGTCAAATCTGAATCATCTCTTAAAATAAAACTTTAAGTTAAAAATAATCTTCCAGAACTAACTTTGAAAGAATATGGAACATGCTACAAATAAAATATGCAATGATACATGAGTTTTCCCAAAATACATGAAAATATATAATAAGCCTGGAAATAAAAACAAATATATTTCAAATAACTTCCAAAAGCACAATTCACTAACGTGTGGAAGAAAAAAATGTTATCTTATAAAGAAAGAAATACTTATTTACATACATATCTTAGTGCCTGAATTCCTGAAGATTTTTCAAAAATAAATTAACTTGTTTCAAAATTGTGTCTTATTATGTAATAGTAAGTGTATGAGTAAGTAAGAAAATAATGCATTATGTCATTTTTTTTTTCTCAGAGGCTTGGATATGAGTACAGCAATGCAATGTACCCAGTTGATGCGACGAATTGCAAGAAGTGGTCGCACTGTAATCTGTACAATTCACCAGCCCAGTGAAAACATGTTGAGCATGTTTGATCAAGTATATATATTAGCAAATGGCTATTGTGTATATCGTGGATCTCCCAATGATATGCTTCCTTTCCTGAACTCTCTAGGATATCATTGCCCAAAGTATCACAATCCAGCTGATTTTAGTAAGTAACTTTCATTTAAGCATTTCAAACATTATATCCTAATCTTTAGTCTTTACTTTTGCAATTGTAACTAACAAACAAATATAAACGAGCATTAAATCTAGTGTCATTTTTTTTAAATGTTAACTTAATATTTGCAGAAACCATATGATTATACCACAAAAATAGCTTCTATTTATAAAGTGAAGGAATTATTTAGTTATGTTCTTCCTTTGGAATTTATTTGAGCTAAGTATAATAAGATCTAACAGAATTGTATTACTACATTTTACAGTGCTTGAAGTGACAAATAATGAATACGGTGATGCAGTTTCAGTAATGAAAGAAGCACATAAAATTTTGCCATATCCACCTCTTCTTCCTGGTAAGTTAAGTAGCAAGTTTGTTAATAAACCATTTTATGAATATTGTCAGAGATTTCCAGACCTCAATAAAAATGAGGTCTTTAAATACATATTTATAGTTTACTCTTCAAATAGGGCATCCTCACATCCATTATATCAAGAAAATTGTAGCTAAATTTCCCAATTATAGCTAAAAAGTGGGAAATATGCTTGTATTTATGATCGATAAAAATACAATAAAACACAAAATATGACAATCCCAAAATGCTTCCCAAAACTTTGTGACTGGAAAATCACTGCATCTAAATGTTGGCGTTGTTGATGGGCATAGTCTGGCAAACACAACATAAATATTCTAGGAATGCCAAATATTGGGTTATTCATACCACCCATTAGCTGGGTACTAATAAAATCCATGGAATTCTTGTCACAAATCTTAAGAGATGACACTTTTATTTTTCACTTTAGATTAGTATAAAGAATAAAACAAAAACAATCCCGTTACATCTGATTTTTAACAATACACATTTCCAATCTGAATACTCAAAAGAAATTGTACAGAAAAGGCTGTGTAATAACGTTCAAAAAACAAAAGTACACTGAAAAATAATGCACAACGTAAACAAGTAATTTGTAACAATTATTTAATTGAGAAAAAGAGCAAAAATGTGTTGTTGCATCATGGTTTTACACTACTTATATATTGAAGAGAAAGTATTGTAATGCTGCAGTGAAAAATCCATTTCTTTCTTTTCTTTTTTTTTTTTTTAAGACATTTCTTTCTGAAAAAGTTGTTTTCAGCAATCCATCTGTGTGTGAGCAATACTAGCACCTATAGACAGGATTTTCATCACAATTATATTAGTGTAGAGGATCCTTTACATTAGGCCCCACCAACATTTTTGAAATTTTCTTCAAAATGTTTCCAAGTTATTATTTAATTTTTATTCAAATAAGGCAATGTATGCTTATAAAGTGGTGCACATCTAAATTTCACTGAAATTTCTGAATTTTTGAATACTTGTAAGTTTACAATAGTGGCCTAAAATTGTACTAAAGCATTGTGGAATTCAGTTATAAGTAAAAATATAGAATACTATTTGACAGTCTAACTTGTAATATTAAGGTGTCTTGAAAATTGTTTGGTAAAATGTCTTACCTTCTCAGGAAGTTTCTCATTCCTCTGTCTTAAGAGAGTATGTTGTTCATTTCTTTAATTTAACGAAAAAGCTTGCCTGTAAAAGGGTAATTTAAAACAAACTGCAAGAATGTCATATTTGAAAATATTTTATATTTTAATAGTAATTTAAGTAATAAAACTTGTTTAAACATGATCTTATGAACATGTTCACTAATGCCATTAGCATTTATATTGTGGAAATGCTGATATGGTGTTGATGAGTTGAAGAATAAATAATATTATTTATTTGATTGTGACCTTCAATTACTTTTTTTATTGAAACTTAAAATATGATTTTTTTTTTATTAAACCATTTAAATAGATGAATTTATTTTATGATTATAAAGATTTTATGTGAAATTGTGACATTATCTGCTTTTCCTTTCTTAGACATTAAAGAGAATGAAGCCAATGGAAGAGTGAATGGAAAACAAGGAAAGGCCAAAGAAACTTATAGTAATTCAGAAGAGTACAAGCCCAGTGAATGGGAAAGATTTAGAGTATTGGTCACTCGTAACTTGTTACTACAGCATCGAGATTGGGTAAGTAGAATTCAGAGAGAAATTGATGAAGAAACAGATAAAATCATGCTCAAAGGCAGTGTACTAGTTTCTTGTTATATGGTCCGATGTTGAATTCTTGACCAAGGTTAAAATAGAGTTGTGGCTTTCCTCCAAAAATCGTCTCAGTTTCTGTACCTGTGTGGTGAAGAAAAGCTCAGGTAAGCACAGTTAGCTAGTTACAATGAAGGGAATACATATCTTCATGTCTCTCTTATTCCCTAAGTGTGGGAATTGAACTAGGCTCAGGCATGGGGTATACTATTAGTTAGCCACATGACCTAACGATTAAATTCGATACAAAAGTTTTAAGTCTCAAGTAAAATCTTTTCTGCTGCACAACTGTTTCTATACAATTAGAGACTATACCGGGCATCCAAAAGGAAAGTAATATTAATTTTAACAATAACATTTAATATATTATATATACCGTTTGGATTGTATAATTCTAAAGAAACTACAACAAGTATTGTACTTCAGTTTCTGGGTCAATGACTCCCATCTCGATCAGGTTTTCATCCACTTTCCCAGATCTTCCAGCAAATGCTGAGATGGCCCCTTGTTTTGCTTCTGGACATAAATGTAACTTCAAATTAACTTCTCTCCATAGCACGACACACACAGTTTTGGACGGAAATAGATAAAGAGCCAACGAAGTCAGACAATCGACCCAAAATGCCAAAGACATTCATATATACAGTGTTCGGGGAGGAAACGTCGAAACTTTAGAACTTTACTTTTCAAGTTGTTTTGAATAAAAAAATAATTCTATAAACATGTAGCCTATTCTTCCCCTATTAGCGGTATTCGCATGGTTAATTGTGTGCAGTGTAGAAGTGAAACGATTGGTACTCACCAAGCGCGCGAAAACTGGATTCGAGCAGACCGTTAGATTCGAATGCGGAAGAATAATGAGCGCGGCATTGGGGTTTCTTTCAAGAAACTCTGAAACTGTGTCTAATATGAATTTGCTTATCAGTAAACTTTTGACTACGGCGACGTGCATTTCACATGAACATTTTATTAAAATAAAAATATTTATTTTAAAAAATATATTTAAAAGTTATTTATTAAAAAAATATTTAAAATGCATTTATTTACGTCAAAACCAATTAAAAACTGTGTCGTGAAGTTATAGCTGCGAGGAATACGCAGACATAATTTATGTTTACGGTTTTTGTGACGGCATTGCGAAAAGACCGGTATGTGAATATCACAATTTTCTAATCGTAATGTGCCGCGTAAAAGCGTATTTATTAATACCTTCAGAAGGTTACGAGAAACTGGTTCATTATCTACGATCTCCAAACGCGGCCTTTGTCGAGCTACGAAACAAGCAAGAGACCTTCTTGTGATAGGAACTGAAGACAAATCATTAAACAGTGTAAGAAGAGTATCTTCTCGGTTGAATGTTGCGAAGAGTGCAGTGTGAAAATTCTTTCACAATGAAGGTTTGTGTCCTTACAGATTTTGCTATGTCCAACACTTACAACCACAAAACTGAGAATCGCATATGCAGTTTGGTATCTGGCTTCTTCAAAGAGCTGATATTTGCTGGCATATGTTATTCACAAATGAAGCCCAGTTCACGAGAAGTGGAGTTATTAATTATAGAAATACTCATTTACTGGCTCCTTCTAATCCACATGCCACACGTGAAAGGCAATTCTAAATAGAATTTCCTTGTGTGGTGCGGGATTGTGGAAATCAAATTATATGTCCTTACTTTTTTGAGGGAATGTTAACTGGATACACGTTTTTGAAGTTCTTAGAACATGAATTACATTCCAATCTAGATTATATGCCTCACCCGCTGCGTTCCTCGATTATTTTCGAGCGTCGCCACATTTTAAAAGAAATGTACAAAACTATGTCCAAAACTGTGTCCAGGAAGATGAATTTCGGTGGAAGAGGTCGCGGTGGACCTCAAAACTGGCCAGCAAAATCTCCCAACCGTACTCCACTCCACATATAAGTTTTTAGTTGCATTAACAGAAACGCCAAATAACTAATATTAGACGATTCGAAGCATGGATACGTTAAAAATATATAGCAAAAACAACGTTCTTCGTAGATGACTGGGATAGGAACGAATTGAAAACGTATTTTGGATCAAAATATTTGTACTTTATTTGGATATTTACTTTTCCGTATACATACGTAAAGGAGTAATATACGTAGTAATGGAAAAGTTATGTAATGATGCCGAAAATCGATTTCGATATTTCAACGGAAATGCACGTTTTGAGTTCCCCTGATATCAAAAAAGTGTTTTTTTCAAAACGTCCGTCCGTCTGCCTAGTGTATGTGTACAACACAAGCGCCTAAACCATGCGTAGGATTTTTTCCAAATTGAAGAAACCTCTGTCCATTTGGCCCGAGTCAAAGCTCTGCGATTTTGAAAATCATTCATTATTTTTTAGGAGTACTTTACATGAAGCCCCGGGGACATTTTCAACATTTTCTCAAAAATGGCTCCAAATTTGTTCTTCTATCTTTTCCAATGGGTAATGCTAATTGCACTGTTTAAAATGACAATGTTCATATTGCAGAATTCCCCCCCCCCAAAAAAAAATACACAAATGTATTTTTTAAATTTCTCTCACACTGTTATTATGCACATTTTCAGCGCTTTGTAAACACTATTGCATTTGTAAGTTAAAGAACCTTAAAGTACTTTAAATGAAGTTTTTCGAAAACTCAAAAATTTTCTGTGAAAAAAAAAACCTTCAAATTTCGCATTTACAGTAATGCTTAAATGCCATTTTCTTAAAAACGGCACCAAATTTTTCAATGAGAATTGCCATTTAGAACGAGGTTTTATACTTCTTGAATATTGTTAAAGTAATATTTCGGTTCTACTATTAGGAAACCAAAAAATTGGGAATATGTTAAAAAAAATTTACTTTGGGTGGCAGTAGATGGCAAGAGAATGGGGCAAGTCCGCAATGCCAATCCACAACAAGGAAATTAGAAAACTTTACTGCGAGAAAGTCTGGGCCATTCTTTTGCACCAATAGTTCAATATTGCGCGAAAACTACCAGCATTTAAAAAAAACTGCATTGCACAAAATTTGAAGAAACAATTTCAAACCATTTTTGAAGAAATTTTGGAAATCTTGTAAGGTTTGATGTTAAGTACTCTCCCAAACTATAATTTCTGTTTGAAAATCGAAGAGTGCATCATCAGCCAGAATTTATTATTTTAGTTTCTGGACATTATCCTAGGCTTGTAATTCCACTGTTATCCACAGGCAGATGGGTGGACAAAGCTTTTTTTTTTTTAATAGAAAAGTTTAAAAGCTTTGGTTGGTATTAGAGATTCCCAAAATGTTGAGTTTGTTGAATTGAAGAAAGTAATTTGCTACATAAAGAAAAAAGAAAAATCCACTTTGTCAGAATTATCAGGAACGCAGAAAACATGTTTCTCTGAAAAAACAACAATTTTTCCTGCATGATACAATATTTTCTCTTTTCTAGATAGTATATAAGAAAAGAAAAATTCGACTGATCTTCTATAAACTGCATTTCAGAACTGCAAATTCATTTCTATGAATTATTTCTTCTGTTGCAGGCCACCACACATACAAAACTTTTGGCAGCATTTCTAGTTTCTTTGATTATTGGTATATTGTTTGGACCAATTGGTGATAATGCTCATAGAATTATGAGCAATATTAGTATATTGTTTATTCTTAGTCTATACCAATGCTATACACCAGAAGCCCCAGCGCTATTAAAATGTATGTTTGATTTTCGAATGCAATTTTGAAGAGAAAATAATTATAATTACAATTTTTTCTGAAATACAATAATTTAAATAAAGAATCTTTTCTCAAATAAAGTCCCTGTGTGCTATTTATTGCAGATGGTGATGAAGTTCAAATTGTGAAGAGAGAATGGTTCAATAATTGGTATCGGCTATGTACCTACACTATTGCTTTACTTGTTTCCTCATTACCATTGCATGTAAGTACAATGCACATGAATAAATCAATTTATAACTTTTTTGTTTTTTTAAAACTATTTATAGTTTCTTTGAAAAGTTTTTTAGTAATTATTGGTTGGTTAAAGTGTAATATTCAAATCTTAGCAGAACAAATGGGTTTCACAATCATGTTCACACAGAATGAGTAATTAAATCCATTAGAGTTCCTAGGAAATGGCAGGGATTATCTATGCCATGGATTCTACTGATCAGTGGTGCAATTCATTATACTTCTTTTATGAGAAAAGCTTCAAGACAGTTTAAGACTGCAATCAATAATTTGCACCTAAAACGATGGAATAAATGCAGTTCTACCAAAAAAGATAATTAATACATTCTTAATACAAGATACTTATAATGACAAAAATAAATACCTTTTTTTGTCATATTGTATTCCATTTTTATTTATGTTAATTAGAAATGTACATTGTTGACAAATATCAAATCAGGAAATATTTCTCTCTTATACACTACCCTGTCTATTGGTAAGAATTTAAAATAATCCTCTTTGTAAATAATATGCTTAAAGATCATGTTTTTGTACCTCATATGAGAAACAGTCAACTCGAGACCTTGTAAGTGATCGTATGCTGGAGTGGGTATTACCCAAAATCCTACATCCCAAATACGCCAATTTAAGACAACTTCACTTCAACACTACTTTACCATCTTGTATAACTCAGATATTATGCATTTTAGGCTCTTCAAACTGAACATTTATGTTCCTGAAGAGGCACAAGTTATGATTCTTATTGGTTTAGTGGCAAGTTGTTGTCATTTAAAATAAAATAATTCAAGGCATTGTCATTGCTAACAGTATTGTTTATTATAAGAGCCTTTTTTGATGGTCATGGCTAAGCCATTGAAAGCTGTGCTTGTAATAAACAATATTGTTGGCAATGACAATGCTTTGAATTATATCATTTGTGTTTCTTAAGCCAAAATTTACCCAATGTAACAATTTCTATGAGTATTACATTTTCTATTACATTTTTGGAGGGTTGCCCCCAACTTAGTAACATTGTTGTCAGAAACATTCCAAGTTGTGTTCTATCATGAAACTAGTTTCACTTTTAAAACAGAAATTAACAAACTGGGTAAATTTTTCCAGACCACATAGTTGTAGATAATTTAAGTAATTTTTTTATGTAAATACGTTCTCATAAACGATAGGGAGGGCAAATTATATTGGATAAGTGAACAAATTCAGTTTCTCTAATGGGTGCCAATTAACGTAAGTATTCTCTGCATGAATCTGCCAGATTTATGACAACTGGAATGTTATCATACTTAATGATGATGTGGTTGATCGAGTCTGACTTCCCAGAAGCCAAAGGTTAACCTGAAGACATTCATGAGTTTTGGTCTGAAGCCTTTCCTTATGTTCAATTTCATTCCTTTTTTGGTTAATGCAAATGTATGAAACTAAAAGTTTGTTATGTTTGACAGGTTATGATAAGCACAATTCTTTGTTCCATCGCATATTATATGACTGGCCAGTTGGCAGAACCTTTAAGATTTGCCTATATTACAATGGCATTAATTTTAATATCTATTGCATCTGAGTCACTTGGTCTACAAATTGGATCTCTATTTATTAAGAAAAAAATTGTAAGTATCATCAACTTAAATAAATATTGTTTATCAGTAAATAGAACAAAACCATTTTGTTCATTCCACATACATTGAAAATTTAAATAAACTAGTGTTCACTTACTCAAACAACATTTTAACTTGTTTCTGTTCTGAAATTCATTTAATCTCTGAATATCATCCTTTTCATATTGTATTTTAAAACAGTCAATTTTAAGGTAATAAGGTTTTAAGTGTTAAACAAACTTTTCCTCTACACATGAAATTTCTGAATATGTAAAAACCAGTAGGACACCATCAATTTACATCCTTTTTTTTTTAGGAATTAAACTGACATGTTGATACAGCCAAGTAATGATTTGCTTCAATACATCCTAAAACTAACTAAAACTACTAAAGAACAAGAACTAAAAATGTTTCATTAATTTTTTTTCACAAATTAAGAAAGCACACCATTATGAAAATCAGATAGAATTTACTAATTTGTAATAGATTCTGTTTGGATTAATTACAAAACAAAGAAGTGATTAGAAATAAATAAGTAGCTTGCTAGGAATAATATTTGTAAAGAAAAGTCTGTAAGTTCTACTTTAAAATTAATTTCATTGCAATCTCTTTCTCTAATATCCATCAAATTTCTGTTTGGCTATGCTTCCGTATTTCTCAAAAAAGTTTTACATTAAGAATTGTTTAACTGAATAGAGTGAATTGAAACATGACTGAAATGTAATGTAGAATGTTTCATCCACTGCCGGTGCTAGACATTTGTTAAGCACCAGATCAGGCGATTGTCCTGGCCCCTGCAAATCAAGGATCCTGATCTGGGGTTGATGAAGAAAAAATTAATAAAATATTAAAAAGAAATTAGAACACAAGAAAATTGTTATCATAATTTTATAAGTCAGTAGTTAAATATTTCATTGATTTGAATTAATTTTTCACCTTCAATAGTTAATTATAATCATTACTTATCAGGTAGAACTCTATGAAATGAATCAAATGATCTTCTCCCCAATATGCCACACACAGTTTTTACAGTTTTTTGACTAAATAAATCTAAATGATGCTACCATTAAAATTGTTTCCACTAAAATTCATATTTATTACTTCATGTATATTACAAGAAGTGATTTTATTAAATCCTTAACTAAACACAACAATTCTTTTTTAGCGTTTTAAGCTCGCCATGGAATTGTATTATTTGATCACTAAATACTTTTACTAAAAGGTATTATTTATAATATTTTCAAAACTTGTTTTGGCTTAAACATTATAATTTTTGTTATTTGTTGAAATAAAATAACTCATAGTTTCTAGATATAACTCTCATACTTTTAATTTTTTTCGGAGGGGGATGTCTTCGTTTCAGCATTCCTCTGATCCCCAAATTGTCTAGCCCCAGCACTGGTTTCACCATCATTAATATTTTACTAATCCTCAGGTTCATGAGTGTTGGTCGATGTGGGATCATTCATAAGTTTCGTAATTCTAGAGTGGGGAGAGGGAGTTTGATGTAGTGTTACACTGTTACCTAGACTTAGGAAAGTTTCTTAGTAGTACTTTACTAAGTACTGTTACCTAGGCTTAGTAGTACTAAATACTTAGTACTTTAGCATTATATAAGAATTATTTATAATTTTCAGCATTCACTGAAATAATTTCTTTTATTCAGTCTTATAATAAAACTTTAAAATATTAACAAAGTAAATTTTGAAAAATATAAATAAAAAGACATTTTGAATAATTTGTTACAATAAATGAAACTATTTTTTAATCAGTGGTCTATATTGATAGAATCTGTTACATTCTGAAGAAAATATTCTGGAATCCAGTCAAATTAGTGCAGTCTTGCCTAGGAGTCATCAATGATGGTATATGCACGACTTGTCAGAAATTTGCTCACATATATGCCATTTTTTCACTCGAAAATTGTCCCCAATGTTAAGTGCAGTCAACATCACCAATTAATTAATTTTATTAATTATTATCAATTTTAAACTACAATACAAATAAAATGCTTTTACTGCTGATTTTTACTTAGTGTAAATGGAGGTGTTGATGCAAGCATTACATAATTATTCAGGGTACAAGCTCCTGTTACAAAGGGAAGTGGGATTTATTCAAACTACTCTAAAATTGCATTACATAATTTAAAGATGGGCTCTTTGCTGTAAAAACCTACTTTTCTCTGCAAACTAAAAATACTGATACCTGATAACTTAAATGTCATATGAAAATGCAAAGTAATAGAATAAAATTAGCTGCAAAAGACATGTGTAAGTGAATTATCCTTGTTATTGCTGCCTCATCTTCAATCAACTCAGAATTCAGAGATAGCTACTCCCTCTCCTTCATAAAAATTAATAATCTTGATTTTGTCCAAAATTTCATTTGCGATTAACACCTGAATGCCTCATTTGATTATAATGATTCATGGAATGCTTACTTGACTGAATAGCAAAAACACAAAACACAAGTTACAACAATATATACAAAAGTCCTTTTGGACAAGACATAATGGTCTAATGCCTCCAATGTCCTGTGCAAAAGAATAATGTTACAAGAGCTTGCAAGTTGCACAACTTTTTTTTAACATTTTTTATTGAGTAAAACAGGTGTTTTGGTAAAACAATGGTTTTGCCAGCCATTGATCACTATCCTTGAACCTCAGCAACTTATAATACATAAAATTTTTCTCATAAAACATCTCATAATTATCTTTTATTTGTTTATTTTCTTTTAGGCATTTAGCAGTCATGATAGTTTAAAACCACCATTGACCTTAAGTTATTCAAGATTATTTAATGATTATACATAATGTTATGATTTCCCTACCATAAATAGTATGTATGTATCATCAGCATCATGAATACCACCACCACCACCACCACCACCACCACCACCACCACCACCACTACCACCAACATATTGTATAAACTAATAATTGAAATCTAAACCTTGTATTTTTCTCTCTTATAAAAATCTAACAAACAAATTTAATTTACTAGTTTGTGATTTATTTCAAACAAACTTGTAATAATAATTCAATTGTTCTTTTAGTGTTAATTAAGAAATGAGTTTGTAAATAAATTTTCTAAGTTTATTTGCTTCTGTTGCAGGTCAGCCTTTTTATTGGCGCCACTCATCTAGCATATCTATTATTATTCGCAGGATTTCTTGCCTTAAAACCAGAAATGCCAGACTGGTTTGATTGGGGAGCAAAAATTAATCATTTGCATTATGGTTTTAATAGTATCCTCATATCATCATATAAAAATCGTAGCAGAATTTCTTGCCCAGAAGATGTAGCTTATTGCCATCTTCGAGAACCTCATGCAATTCTCAATATTTTTGGTCTTGAAAGTTCAGAAATCTGGCACAATTATCTTGCCCTCATTCTTTTCACTGCATTTTTACGAATAACAGGATTCATCACTTTAAATTACAATGTAAAGCATATGAATGTGTGATGATATGTTGTGATAAAATTTTAATAATTGACAGTGACAAAAGTGGTTATTACATTTAGCAATTGTGAACCATGGCAAAGAACAGTTTGTTCATTCTCATGAGTTCATGCATCATTATTACCAAACAAGGTAATTTCAGAATAAAGATGATATGTAATAAACCATTAATATCATATCCACAATGCCAATCAAAAGAATATTATGACTGGCAATAAATTATGCAAATCAATGCATAATGTTAATTAATGGTATGAATATTGTTGTGCAAATCATGGGATAGATGATAATGCAGCCTAATATTAATGTTAGAATCATTATTTTCATCCTACAAAGTAATAACACTGTCTTTCCAAGGATTATTCAGGATAATCATTGGGAAAGTTAGAAGTTACAAAACAACATCAATTATCGGTGCTACTTTAAATTTTGTTATGTCCTGTAAATTGTGATGGTATGAGGTCCATGTATAAAATGCAGAAGACCTATGCGGAATTGTATTGTAATATTTGTACATCATATTGTACAATACTCCATCATTTTGTAAAGATGTCAATAAGAAAACATAAAAACCGTTTACATTCATGAAACTGTACAATATGTTTGTGTTTAATGACGTCAATGTCAGGTTGCAAGTACTTATGTCTTTTACAATTTTCTAACTAATGATGAAGATTCATGGAAGCATGTACTCTTTTCTTTAGTAATGAAGTTGTGGATTTAATTTAGAAGGTCAATGAAAAGTTGCTGAAAATACTCAGGAAGTTACGTAGTATTTTGGAACAAAATGTTCTCTTAATTGGTATGGATCTCAATAGTCAATGACGATCCACTTTTTCTAAAGAAAATTAAAATTCATAACTATATAACAAACATAATTTCAACATCCAATATTTTAAAGTATTGAAATTGTTTGTAATTAATACATATATATTGTTTTATGGATATATTTATTTATGTAATATGTACACAACGTGATATCTTCTTATGAAGACTTGAATGCACTCTCATCAATGAAACAAGTTTTCCTTGATGTGCAGAGTGGATACCATGTAAATAATCTAACTTTTAAACTTGGTGAGGTGCATTGGCTGTGGAGTACTTGAATATTTTAAGATGTGTCTCCTAATTAAATCAAATTGATTTTGATATAAGCACATTCAATTGTTAATAATTTTCTTGAAACATGGAAATTCAGCTTGAATAGAGAAAATAATGTTAACTGAGCTCTCTGCATGTTTATATAGTGAACAAATGTTATTGAAGTAGAAATTAGAGACCTATATTTTAACTTCACTTTTAATTTTCATTTCACTGAAAATTGTTGTTCATTTAGCATTGCTACATTTAATGAACAGTGAAATTTAATACATGTTGTCCTTATTCTTTGAACTTATTCTATGAAGTGGGGCCCCTCCTGACCTCCCCCTCCTCCTCCAGGAAGAGTCAGGAGGAGCCATCTTACATAAATAAAACATTTGATTTCCTTAAATACAACGTCCACTCCAATATTTATCCTTTTTTAACTGAACGATTTGGAGAATTGTTATATGATATTTGGGGAAGAGGCTTTCCTTGTATGTTTTATTAATCTTGTAGAAAAATTCTAATCTAAAGAAAAAGGTTTAATGAAAGGGGAACCCAAAAATGTAAGTCTACCACCTTTTTGTTGTAGGCTAAGCATGTCTATGTTTTTATTCATTTAACTTTATACATTATTTGTACATGTATATGCAATGCAAATGAAAATTACATAATCTAAAATCATACCCACATAATATATGGAAGTCCTGTTTACTGTTGTTTATAACAACTGCTCATGTAAAAAAAATCTGTTAGAATCTAATTGATATTTATCTATTGATGATACATTTAAGTGTTCAATATTTCTACTTTTATAATCATGTGAGTCATACAACATCATTTTTAATTGTTCAAAGAAATATCTCTCATGCTGGTCATGAGGGGAAAAGTTCATGAATTTGCATTATCACAAGAAAATTTCATGTACTGATTCATAGTTCAATAATCAACAAATGATTAAATTATTCTTTAAAAGGAATTTATTTGTGTTCGATCACATTTTGCATTTCTTAATCATATTATTATTACTCAAGTTACTTAAAAATTTGTTATGCAAAATTAGAGTTGTTCATGTTTATTACAATCTTCTTAAATACTTACCAGTTTAAAAAGAAACTTCTGATTTTTTAAATAATTTTTGTTAATAAAAAGAATGATGAATAAAGTATAATTGTAAATATTATAAATAAAATAATAAATTCTAATAAATGAGAAATATGTTTAAGATTTTTTGTTATTGTTGTATCTCTGTGAATGAATGCTTGTGTGCGCGCTTGTGAGGGCGGGGGGTTGTGAGCATATGTGTATGGGTGTGTGTGGATGTGAGGGGGGAGGGGTTGGAGCATGTGTATGTGTGATTGTTGTGTGTATGTGTGTTTGTGTGCATGTGTGTGTGTGAGTCTGTGTTTGGGTTTTCTTCTTAAACCGAATGGTTTTCCCTGTAGTATCTTAATTCACAAAATGAAACACAATCACATATACTTGGAATCTGATATTAGACATTACATGAAATCAAATATACAAGTGCCTACCTGGACATCCAAGGTCGCTAAGGGTATAAAGTAATTTTGTAGTTTAAAGAAACAAATGGTGCAACAATGGTATATACATTCTCGTACTAATTAGTTTTCTAATTTATTTGGTCTAATTTCTCTGACCTAGTTTCGGTTTTGAACCATCTCTTCCCAGCTGCCATCTTCACTACCCAAAGTACATTTTTTCATTATTTTCTCAAAGTTTTTGTTCCTTGTTGGTAACAAACAGAAACATTATTAAGAATATTACAGGAGAGTAAAACCTTTCCCCATGCAGATATTTGCGTTGAAAAATTTGAAGCTTTTTTGAGAAAATGTAGTTAAGGGTTTTAATAAATTCGAAATTTAAAGGTTGTTTTTTTTTTTCTTCCAGAAAACTTTTGAGTTTTTGAGAAAATTCACAGGAAATCATTTGAAGCATTTCTACTCCCAAATGCAATGATATATACTAGAAAACTCTGGTAATATAAATGCATGTTAATAATCCCTGAAATCGCTAGAAATAACGGCGTAAATATTTTCCATTGGGTAAAATTTACTCACAGACACTTCCCAAGCTTTCCTTAAAATGCTTAAAAAGTGGTGTCAGGATTGTTTGTTATATCAGGCATTTTACATTCACACACACTCTGTAAAATACGTTTGTGTATGTGATGTCGGCACGGCAAGACCAATTCTCGGTCAATGTTTGTTTTTCTTTTTTTCTTTTTTTTTTTTCAAAAAGGCATATGCACCTTTGGAATGTTAAGTGTTGCAATTGCAGTGGTATCACAGCAAAGAATTTGTCCGTTGTATTCGATACCCCAGTGCATAGCAATAGTGTGCTCTTTACCACAAGAATTCCGCAATTTTGGAAACCCGATGTGTTGCTAACTGTCCCCAAATGTAACAACAATTGGAAGTTTTCTTCTTTTGGGTCCCTGATATTTAATGCAGGCAACAGTTTACCATCGCAATGAACAGTAAAAATTTCATGTATATTACTCTTAAAAGCATATACAGAATCTTCCACACAGCTGGCATCTATCTAAAGCAGCCGAGAAATGAAATTTTTGGTGCAACGCCTTGTAGCATTCTCTATTGATAAACTCTCGAAATACACCATAAATTCCCCAATGTTGATTCCATCTGAACTTGCAACTCCAGACGATGAAGGAGGTACAGCAGAAGATGTAGACGCTTCACACTGTTGTTTGTCTTTGCTTTTCTCTTCTTGAAATGTTCTTTGTCTCACCCTTTCTTCTTTATCCGCGGGAGTTTTGTTTACTCCTGCAAGACAGCTATTACGTCCTGGCTCTCTCTGCCGAAGTAGAAATATTCTCTCTTCTTCCAGTGTAATCATTTGTAAAGCATTCAGATGTGCAATATCAAATAGATTGTTCAAATTATTTCTAAACTCTTCTTCATGATGCTTAAAAATTGCTTCTCGTCTGTTTGCGTTTTTTGTGATACTTTTCTCAACTCCGATTACAAGTTAATAAGTTTTTGCGAACAATGCTGATTAACTCTTGACGGAATTCATGCTTTCTCCTTGTATCATGCACTCGCAAACCACTCGTTAGCACTGTCTCTAACTGTACATTTTACTTCCATTATGTCATAAAATAATAAACAATAACAAAATTGTATCCAGTTATTTGATGTTTTATATTAATAATTAATATATTATCTCCTAAAAATTAATATATTATCCTTCCTTGGCACTGCATGTGCCACTAACATATGATATTATGTTAGATTAGCGACCTGTAAACACATATGACACTATCGATTAAAATTCGTGTTCTGTTAACCTCGGGTCTGACTCAGCGGTGGGTGGTAGGTCTGAACTTGCCCGTCGTGCTATTCCCAACTAAGTCAGCACGGGTTAGAATGCTCCGATATCAACAAAAGTTTGTATAGGCATGTTTTAAGATTATTCAAACAAAATTGGAGGGTGAGCGTTCAAAAAATTTGAAATAGGAAAATAAGGGAAACCCTAATAAATTACATTTCTATAATTTTTAAAGAAAAAATTCAATATGCATTTACGTAATGTTATTTAGTCCATTTAGCACTATCTTTTGAAAAAAAATTGGAGAATTTTCAAGAAAATGGCGTTTGAGCGTTTCTGAAAATGTGTAATTTCGAGCTCATTTTCAGAGAGAACGGTTGAGTTTTTGAGAAATCTTATGAAGCATCATTTGAAGTAGATGTACTCATAAATGGAATAATGTTTACAAATCGCCGGTATAGTGAATAATAACGTGAGAAAATAAAAAAATTCTATGTGTAATTTTTTTAAAAGAAACAACAAAAGATTGCAGAAAAAATGATTTTATATAATCTATTTAACACTTACCACCAAAAGGTCAGGAAAGAATTTGGAGCCGTTTTTTAATTTTTTTTAATATTGCACTTCTTTCACTAAAAATTTTTCGAAACTACTAAAATTTTTAAAAAAGTTCATGACAATGAAAGAACTAATTATGAAAAACAAATTTCACTGGTAGAAAAATCTATCTTCAATATTGCAGTTGTAGAAAGAAGCTGAACAAATTCAAACTTTTGCATTTTCCAAAAATTCAGAGTTAACAGTGAAAATAGGACTTATTCTATCGTTATAAATGTATTTTATTCTAAATCGCGGAGCTTCGAGTTGGACCACATCGACTGGGAATATTCATTTTGGAAAAAATCCTACTCTCAGACGGACAGAGACATTTTGAAAAAATTACGTTTTCGGTGGCTAATGTAAATATCACCAAACTTAAAGCTAGAGATTTCTTTCCCAACGTAATTTATCCCTCAATTGATTGGCGTTATGCAGAACGCACCCAACCACAAAAATATAAGCTAGTGGTGCTATAGAATGGCACTAGACTTTTCGTACTAGTTCTTTTTCTAACTTCTATAGTCTGGGCTAGCAGGTTTTGTCCACTCTCTTCCCAACTGCCGTCTTTCATCGCCCAAAGCATATTTTTTCACATTTTGTCTATTATTAGGTCCCCTAATTGCAAAACTGATATATGACTTCAATAATATTATAGAAGAGTAAAATTTCGATCTGTATGGCAATTTTCATTGAAAAATTTGGAGCGGTTTTTTAGAAGATGTCGTTCAATCATGTCTGCAAAAGCGAAATTTGAAGCCTTTTCACGGAACACTTTAGTTTTGAAGAAACATTATTGGAAATCATATTGAAGCACTTTGACTCACAAATGCAACACAGTTTACAAATTTGTGGTAATATAAATATTAACGGCGTGAGGAGTATTTAAAAAAATACTGATGTGTACTTTTTGAAAATCCAAAAGAATACATCAAAGGAACATTGATGTCCCGTTGTTAACTTCATTTACCACTATCGATTCAAAAACGTAAAGAAAAAATTGAGGTCGTTATCGAGAAAATGGCGTTTGAGCGTTTCTGAAAAGGCGGAATTTTGAGCTCATTTTGACAGAAAACTTTTGAGTTTTCAAGAAACTTAATTGGAAATCATTTTAAGCATATCTATACCAGTGGCGGCTCGTGTCCCAACGGGTCGGAGGTTGCACATCCATCGAATGACGGAAATGTAATTTCCAAAATTCAAAATACGAAAATATAAAAATTAGCAATTCAAATTAATTAAAACAAAGATAAATGGAATTCTATATTAAATCATTACTTACATAATTTTATGCATTGTGACCGAGTCAGGAATATTATACACCACCCACGCACGTGGTTCTGGCTTTGATTTCCACTGAACACTTACTTTCGACCAGCACATCGCAACAAGCACTATTGCTTCGTCACGTCTCACACAAATAAAATTATTTTATTTCGAAAATACCACTACCCTGATATGTCTTGTAACAAATATCCTTACAGACTCAAGCTCATATTCCACCAGCTCTCTCTAATCCGTTGTGTAACTGCAGCCTGCTGCATCAACCGAGAAAGGAACTTCCTTCCAGTTCGGCCAACTTTTGTCTAAAATCAAATGAAAAAAATCCCTGAACACTATAAATAATGCATTAAATTCCGTCAATAATTGACTGACCTGTATATTCAATAACAAGCGAAATTTATAAAATTATTTTGCAGCGAGGCAGACGAAAATATAATTTTGTTATTTCTCTAAAACTTCCTACGTCGTCGCGCAACGCTAGAGCGTCATCTGTTTGGTTGCCCAATCAAGAGGTCCTATATTGCTCGTATTAAACCGAAGGGCCAAACAGTAAATGCAGTAAACCCATTAAAACAGTCAAGATCCAAGAGTGTGATGCAATACCTGGCAAGGCACCAGGCACCAGAGAGAGAGAGAGAGAGCGGCAGTGGGACGGTCTTTGGTTTCAAAACGTTTTCATATACATCGATATTGCTGTAATATCTTGAATATTAAATGTGTGAAATAATAAATTGAATGACATTAAAAAATGTATATTCCTAAGATATTAAGAGATATTTTTCGATTATATCAGGGGGTTGTGCAACCGTGCATCCTAACCTCGAGCCGCCACTGATCTGTACTAATAAAAATGAATTCAACGAGATGTAACCGACATCCATACCACAAAAAGTAGTATATTAATAGATGATTTTTACAGGCTCTTCAGGATTGTTGCAGTGACCTTGTGAGATTTGGTAAAGATTAGTACAACACAAACGCAGGTAATAAATTTCATTACAAATAAAAAT